TATTTAGCCTTTTAAAAAAAGGAAATCCTGGGGGCACCTGGGTGGCTCAGTCGTTAAGCATCTGCCTTCGGCTCAGGTCATGATCCCAGCGTCCCACAATCGAGCCCCACATCGGGCTCCCTGCTCGGCAGAAGGCCTGCTTCTCCCTCTCCCACTCCCCCTGCTTGTGTTCCTGCTCTCACTCTCTCTGTCAAATAAATAAATAAAATCTTTAAAAAAAATTAAAAATAAAAAAAGGAAATCCTGACACATGCTACAGCATGAATCTTGTAGACAATAAACGCTAAGTAAAATGAACCAGTCACAAAAAAAGACAAATACTGCATGATTCCACGTACATGAGGTTTAACTGTAACTAAAAAAATCAAACTCTTAAAAACAGAAAGTAGAATGGGGATTGCCGGGCACTAAAAAAAGTGGTAGAAGGGGAACTGCTCAATGGATATAGTTTCATTTTTGCAAGATGAAAAAATTCTAGGGATCCGCTGCACAACAATATGCATAAAGTTAACATGATTGTACCGTATACTTAAAAATGGTTAAGATAGTAAATTTTATTATATATTTTTGACCACAATTTTAAAAAAAAGAAAAAACAACTCTAGACAAGAAACTTGATGAGCTTCTGTGGTTGGCAGTATTCTTTCTGTGCACTGTCATGTATCAATATTCCAGGAGAGTGACATGTACCTGAGGACAATGGAAACTTTATGTTTGGAACTCTCCCAGATCTTGCCCTGTGTGTCTTCATTTGGCTGGTTTTGATTTGTGTCCTTTGGCTATAGTAAAATTGTAATCATAAGTATAGTATTTTCCTAAGTTCTGTGATTCACTCTAGCAAATTATTAAACCTGATGGGGCACTAGGAACCCCCAAATTTGTAACCAGCTATTAAGCATACAGGTTACCTGGGGAGCCCCAAACTTGAGGCTGGTAAGTGAGCACAAGCCATGTGGAGGCCTGTACCCTTAACCTGTGAGGTTTGGCCCAAGTCTGGATAAATGGTATCAGAACTCACTATAATATACAGACAAAATTTTTTTTTTTAAGATTTTATTTATTTGACAGAGAGAGAGAGCGAGAGAGGGAACACAAGCAGGGGGAGCGGGAGAGGGAGAAGTAGGCTTCCTGCCGAGCAGGGAGCCCGATGCGGGGCTCAATCCCAGGACCCTGGGATCATGACCTGAGCCGAAGGCAGACGCTTAACGACCAAGCCACCCAGGCGCCCAGCACAGACAAAATTTTTAATGAAAAAATTCATTGTGCCTCCTGAGACTAAAGAAGAGAAAAATAGTAAACTAAAGAGAAATGTTTGAAATTATAGTCTAAATTTTAGTTCCTGAATAAATTTCAAATGAAAAGGTATTCTTCACTTCCTCTCTAGAAAGGCAGTTCATAATTATAAGCTTTTACAAAGATCTAAAGGAGGGGGGATACAGATTTAAGAAGGCCCTGTTCGATTAATATCATGCTACTGAGGTAGAATATAAGTAAATTAATGTATTGATAACCCCAAAATATAATTTTATCCAACAGAAGAGGTAGAAACCAACAAACTTTTAAAATACTTGAACATTTTATTTTATTTTATTTAAGATTTTATTTATTTGAGAGCGAGAACAGCAGAGGGAGAGGGAGAAGCAGACTCCCGCTGAGCAGGGAGCCCAATGCAGGGCTTGATCCCAGGACCCTGGGATCATGACCTGCGCCAAAGGCAGGCACTTAACCATCTGAGCCACCAGGAGCCCCTGAACATTTTATTTTAGTTTTACCTTTTTTAAAATATCTATTGATAAGAGAAATTAAGATCCACAAAGAAGTAGCACTATTGAAAGGGAAAAGATAATATTAAATTCTCACTGAAGTAATGATTAGGTCTCCAAGAGTTAGCGGTAAGTTAGGAAAAAAGACAAAAAAATACATATGAAATAATAATATATAAAAGAAAGTGAACAGCCTCTCTCTGTACTAATTCCCTAACCAATTAGAAAAAAATCCCAAAATTGTAGGCAGCTGATCAGAAGAAAGCTTACACAGGTAAATGTAAATCAGTTAAAACAATGACTATAGTTTTGCATTTGGTCATGACTGCTGAATGCATGCTGTTTCTGTTTAAACAATTTGGTTTCAACTTTAAATTTTAGTGATAAACTTTCAGAACTATTTAAGTTCTAGCGAATAGTTAGAATTTCAAATAAATTAATAATGCTATTTTCTTCTTCTTAACCTAAATTCCTCTTTTCTTTGGTCCTACAAAAAATTTTGCCTTAAAATAGATCTGAATTTTAAATATGACAAATAAGCCACTTAATAAAAGTGTCTTTTGGAAAATAATAAAAGTGGGGTGCCGGGGTGGCATAGTTGGTTAAGCGTCCAGCTCTTGGTTTCAGCTCAGGTCATGATCTCAGGGTCAGGAGATCAAGCCCCACGATGGGCTCCACGCTCAGCGCAGAGACTGCTTAAGACTTTCTCTCCCTCTCCTTCTGCCCCTGCCCCCCTCACTCTCTCTCTAATAAATCTTAAAAAAATAAATAAAGTATAGAAAATAAAAATTTGGAATTCTTGAGGCATTTGATACCTATTCCAGGCAAAGTAAAAAACTTGATATGGTTAAATGCACCATTCATTTACAGCAGATTACAATGTTTTACTAGAAAAAAAAATTAAAATAGCAAATGTAATTTGCTAAATTAGATTTGTGTCAGCCCAAAAGTACCCAACAGGTACTGGGCAAATGGTAAGAAATCTAATTTTGAGAAAGTGCCAAAACAGAGTAGGTACTTAAATTGATTTCTTGACATACCAACCCTATGGTAAATATTTTCCCAAGCTTCCTGATGTAACACATACTAAAGAGGACCAATAGAGCCTATGATACACTACTAAAAACAGACAAGGAACAAAAACAATTTTTAATGATCAGCTGACTTCTATACACAGAACTTTACTTCAGTCAAAAATGTTCTTTTCTTTTCAGTTTAAATAGATGATTTTTGTCTTGTTTAAAACAGAGTCCCCAAAATGCTTGCCATCCCCCAAAAGGTAACACCAACCAACTCTACATTGGTCTAATGTGAGAGCATCAAACAGTTGGCCAAATGGTTTTATTGGTACTACTGAATTTTTATTTTTTTAATTTTTTAATTATTTATGTGAGAGAGAGGGAGACAGGGAAAGAGAGAGAGAGAGAGAGCAAGCACAAGCAGGGGGAGGGGCAGAGGGAGAAGGAGAGGGAAAAGCAGACTCCTGGCTGAGCACAGAGCCCAACACAGGGTTCGATCCCATGACCTGAGTCAAAGTTAGACGCTTAATCGACTGAGCCACCCAGGTGCCCCACTGGTACTACCAAATTTTTAATCTGAATTATTACAGCTATGCAATGTGAAATAAAAACATTTTTCCCCCACACAAGACTCAGAGAGTTCTCTAAAAGCTCAAGTCCTTAAAATGAACTCAAATTTGATACTTTTCTCTAATGCATTTGGTCATGACTCTTCTCTCAGTGGTCATTATATCTTTAATAAAATATTTTCAGTGTGTTATAGTCATATCTTTAATAACACATATTCAGTTTGCTATATTTACTCCAATCAAAATGAGGTACTCTGAATGTTTAATATTACAGGACTTATAACTCTAAAACAAAAAGTATAAAAATAATAACAAAATGAAACATGCTGATATACAACATCAATGGAAAGGAAAGAAAATGTAATGAAAATAAGTGAATTTGTAAAATTATTGTTTTTGTAAATGTGTGTAATATATATAAGGTTATTGTCATGAGATTTCTAAAGTAACTTACAAAACTAAATTCTACCACATACAGAAACCTATAATGGTAAAGACATCACTTACAAATAAAACAATGTCTTTTCTTTTAATTTTATTTTAGTATGTTAGTCACCATACAATACATCATTAGTTTTTGATATGGTGATCCACGATAAAACAATGTCTTTGATCCTATATATCCTGAGTGGGTTTTTACTACCACCTAGTGTTATACCTTAAGAAATACTTTCCTGTAAAAATTAAGTTACAAAAGACACTTTACAATATCACTCAAACATTACTAAAGATATAATTAACTGTAGGGGGAAAAAAAAATCACAGTATAGAAAATAACTATTTTTAAAAAGCTGTCTTATATAAAAAACCTATTTTCATTACCCTGAAAATTTCTGTTGTATTACTAATTGTGTAATTTACATCAAATCCTTTCTAGGGCTTCCAAATACATACTCAAGTTGCTTCAAAAGACAAAGAAGCTACCACAAAGATTCAGCCCATTATCTAGCCAATGCACTCAAAAAGCCAGATAATTATAGTATAAAATGATTATCAATGCTCTCTCAATGCCAACAGGTCTATGAAAGGACTTCCTAAATGCTAGCATTTTAGGTTCCCATAAAGAGAGGAAAGCAAAGGTAGGGTTATGCTCCTTAGAATCATACTGTTTGCTACTGAATGTCATCCTTCAACTTGCCAAACACCAAACTAACTACTGAAATAACCCCCAAACTATAAAAACAAAAACAAAAACAAAACAAAACAAAACAAAAAAACACAAAAACACCAAAAGGTTGAAAAAGAACAAGATGAAGTCATGGAAATACATTCTTTTAATGGGTTCAGAACTCTCTTTGTTAAAAGATTTTACTCTGCTAGAAATTATTTTCTCAGTCTATGGAATCTAGAGATGAAGCCAAAGGATTTTAGCTGCTTTTAGTAAATTAACAATTTAGAAGTCGTGTGGATTCTATTTCAGCAAGGTTTTGCCTACAGCTTTTTTTTAGGCACAATATTATGTATTAAATTTTGTATCATTAACCATGCTGGGTTTTTTTAAATGACACAAAAATGTTGTGCTCATGACATATACAAATAAGATAATGGATCATACCTTTTTAATCCTTCCCATACAAATGGAAATAACCAACCTCTGAAACTGAATGTAGTAAAGTCATCCTAAAGGTATCATGTCTACAATTACTCACTTGAAATGACCTTTCCATTGTTATTGCAAAGTAGTATTCTCTCCGGGGATATCTTCGCTCACAAACCAATACTTGATTGCATATTCTGCCCTTTTCTCCTGTTTGCTTGGTAAACAACTTTTTCCCAATCATTTGTGAGGAAACAGCTTTTGCTTCTTCTGGACTGAAAAAAGAAAAAGAACTCAAATTTTTTTCTCCTCCAACTGAGGAAAAACAAAAGCATATGACAGCCAAAATTTTATCTCATTTAATATTTATTTTTTTTAATTTTTTTTAAAGATTTATTTATTTTGAGAGAGAGAACACACCAACGGGGGGAGAGGCAGAGGGAGAGAAACTCAAACAGGCTCCATGCTGAGTGCGGAGCCCAACACGGGGCTCAATCCCAGGACCCTGAGATCATGTCCTGAGTCAAAATCGAGAGTCAGACGCTCAACCGACAGAGCCACCCAGGCACCCCACTCATTTAGTATTTAAATTTCAGTATTTTCATCAATTCAATAATAAGGGGTCATTTTTACAATATATTTTTTCTTTAATAACGATGATTTTTCCTTAAAAAGCAGGACTTACGAGAAAACTATCTTCACTCCTCCTTTGAGGCCACTCTCAAATGTTCCTTTTCCTCTACCACCAGCTAAAACCTGTGCCTTTATCACAACGTCTTTTGAACCTAGAAGAAAAACACTTGTTAGATAAGCAGCACGGAATAGCATGCAAGACATTATTCTGTTATTAAGCATATATGTTAAGTGATGTTATTATATGTAGTAGACCCATTTACCCACAATGTCAAAAAATGAAGTATTCGACATATATAGTTTTTCTCGATTAGAATATTACAACATTCACCATCTAAAGGTCCACAAGTTTAAAAAATTAGCCATTCATGATTCCTTGGAGTAGACTGAAAATCATTTTACTTTTCCTTAACACTAAATGTCTAGTGCTTTGGAAGGTATTAAAAGTACAAAAATTGAGACTCAAATGTCTTCCCAACATTTCCCTACCTTTCTATTCACATGTAAAATTGCTATCCTGTGAAAATTTGAGTTAAAAAAGCTACTCTGAGCAGAAATACATCATAACTTCAGGAGAAACTGCCAGTACTCATACCAACTTACATTGTTCCACTAACAGAAAGACGTGTTGATACACTTTCTTGAGCTATACTGTTATGAGGAGTATTATCAGGAGTTAAGCTATATTTATCAGAAGATTCAGGGATGTTATAAGTCTTAAATTTTTAATTTTTTATAGTACTTTTTAAAAATTTTTAAGTGAAATTTTTAAAATAAATATTCTGAATTTTTCTTCTTTAACAGGTAGACTGATCTCTCTTCTATCTTCCTCTTTCTAATGTGCTGAAGAAAATCAGCAAACCAGCTGGTTAGCCTGGGTACCCCTCATCATTCATGGTCCAGGTCTATTCCTCTTAGAGGGTATTCTCTGTCTCCCCAGACAAGTAGAATTTCAGAATCTCCTCATTTTGCCTCTTACAGCATTTTGCCTATACTAGCAGTGCAACACTTGTATTACATTATGGCAAAATAATAATATTCTTACTGGTTACAAGCCCAAAGCAGTCCCCGGTATATAACTACCAATCCTTGCACACACCATGCCAGAATACGGGGACTCCCACCTAATCAGATAACCCAACAAAATCAAAGAGGTAACAAATGCAGTTTCTGATAAAACCAGGAAGAAATGACCTAAAGTTTACACCTAAACAATTATTTAAAAAGAATGTTTAGAAAATTAATGATGTAAATGAGCCTACATTTAGAAGTTAGAAGATGGCCCTGTGAGTCAGTCAAGGAAGGGTTTTAAAAAAACCATCTTTCTCACACCCCATACTCATCTTTAAAATTCATCCAGAATCTTGACCACTCTTCATCACCTGGTTTGAACCCTGGTCCCGGCCACCACCCTCTCTCACCTAGATTACACTCGTCCCTGAAAGACTACTCTCAAAGCAGCAAAGTGAGCACATCACTCCTCTATTTAAAACCTTACAGTGAATGCCCATTTTACTCAAAGTAAAAGTCACACTCCTTACGATGACCTACAAGGACCTATACGATTCCCCAGTACCCTTACTATTTGTATCTCCTATGACCTCCTCATCGTTCACTCCACTCCAGCTGTTCCCAGGCATGCTTCTGCCATCAGGATTTGGCTCTAATGCTCCCTCCGCCTGGAATACTCTTCATCAGGTACAGGAAACCCCTGCTTTTCCAAAGTTTGCATTATACCCACTTTGCTTTTACAGAAGACCTACATCGGTTACTTGTTCTCACGAATTGAAAGAAATCCGAAAGTGATTTTCGCTCTTGCAAAAAACAGCATTCAGTGCTGATTTTGAGGCGAGCCATTAGAGAGGTAGCACCCACCCCAAGCAGCAAGAGTGGCCAAGCCCCTTACCCAGGAACTATTCTCAGCATCCAGCCACCAAACTTTGAACCGTGCCTGTGAGCATGTGTGCTTTCGCCCAGGAAGGGTCATTTACTGGCTCTGGGAACACTTGAAAATTTCTCCTTATAACTAATGCTAACTGCTTTCACTTTATACCATTTCGGCTTACAAAAGGTTTCGCAAGAATGCTCTACTTTCGGATACCAGAAGACACCTGTATCCATTTGAGAAAGGCCTGCATTCCCTTCAAGTTTTTCTTCTTATATCTCATTGTCCATGAGGCTTACCCTGATCATTCTACTTAGTAGTACAACCTGCCCACCTGGGACCAATCCTCCCCTCCTTACCCTGCCTTTTTTCCATAGAATTCCTCACCTTCAAACATAATATATAATTTTCTCATGTTTACCATTCATTGTTTTGCTCGAATACAAGCTTCAGAAGGGCAGAATCTTTGTTGTGTTCATTGATGTTCTCAAGCTCTTGGGAGCATTCCTAGCATATATTTTCTGAATGTTGAATAAAAGAACATTTAAAGATGGAAAGAATTCTTGGATATCTTGATTTTCCACTGCTCTTTTAAAAACTCAGAACTGGAAATACTGGGCCCTGCAACTAAAGCTGTTTAGAAGTGCCTGGTTTACACAAGATAGACCCTTTTCTATCTGCCACGGTCCCCACCATTCAGGTAAAAACAACTAATATTAGATGAAGATTAGAGAAAACGTAAGAAATTTCCTTAAAACGAACAATAATTTTCTTATTGGAAAGAAAACAGGTAGCCTTTGGGACAATGGCAAATTACAGAGTTCACGCCCAAACTTAAAGGAGCAGACACTAGTCGTTTTACCTGTTTCTGGTTACCTGGTTTTTCCAGTACTTTAGAAATATTCATTCATATCCAAAGAGGATAAATGTAAACCCAATAGTGTAAATATAATGTAAAAATGGCCAATAGTTAAACTGGTGCTTTGCTGGGCTAAATTCAAACATTCCTAACATAGTAAACTGAGAACTTAAAAAACTGACCTATTAGAGTAGTAAAGTTCTAGTTTTTCAAAAATATTTTACAAGACAGAAGTCTCTTCCTCCACAAAATGTCAATTTCCTTTCTTTAGGAATATAAATTCCTTAAGGGCAGAGATGATTCCTCAAAACTTCCTTCTAAAAAAGCCCTTCACAACAAAAGAAAAGCCAAAAAAATTTAATGAATAGTCTCATCAAGACAAGAGGGATTACAAGAGAAATCTGAGGACAACTGATTGCTACAAAGATTTTATTCAATTCCATTAATTCATTCAACAATTACATCTATATACCAGTTACCCCTAGAGCCATAGAAACACCAATGAGCAACAGAGACCTACTCTGCTCTTAGAGAGCTTACAGTCTTTTTTTTTTTTTAAGATTTTATTATTTATTTTTTTTGACAGAGACACAGCGAGAGAGGGAACACAAGCAGGCGGAGTGGGAGAGGGAGAAGCAGGCTTCCCGCGGAGCAGGGAGCCCGATGTGGGGCTCGATCCCAGGACCCTGGGATCATGACCTGAGCTGAAGGCAGACGCTTAACGACTGAGCCACCCAGGCGCCCCGAGAGCTTACAGTCTTATTAGATTTGGCCCTTTGCTCTAGTCAGACAAGATCTTTTATGGATTCCAGGGTTGTCTTTAAAATACAGTCACTATCCCTCCTAGCTTTAGTTATTCACAAATGTCTTAAGCATTCTTCATATATAGTCATCTAATAAAACACTGGGAAGAAGAAAAAAGAAGGCAAAGTCCTATTTTATGCCATTACAAATCTCCCTCCAGGCGATTATTCATTAATTGGCAACCTTTGCACATATTTATTCAACCAGACAAAAATTCCACCTTAATTATACTAGAATCCTAAACATTAGGACTAAGACACAGAATGGCTGAATAAATAAAAAAACAGACTAATCTATGCTGCCTCTAAGAAACTCCCTTTAGATGTAAGGACACAGACTGAAACTGAAAGGATGAACAAAGATACTGCATGCAAATGGAAACCAAAAGAAAGCTGGGGTAGCTATACATATATCAGACAAAATCAACTTTATAACAAAGACTATAACAAGAGACAAAGTAGGGTGTTACATAATGATAAAGGGGCAATCCAACAAGAGGATGTATCATTGATAAATATTTATGCACCCAACATAAGAGCACCTAAATATATAAAGCAAACATTAACAGACATAAAGGGGGAAATAGACAGCAATACAATTAATAGTAGGGGATTTCAATACCCACGTATATCAATCAGTAGATCACCCAGGCAGAAAATCAATAAGCAAACACAGCCCTTAAACAACATATTCGACCATGGTCTTAATATATATATACAACATTCCATCCAAAAGCAACAATACATATTCTTCTCAAGGGCACATGGAACATACTCCAGGATAGATCACATGGCAAACCTCAAAACAAGTCTTAATAAATTTAAGAGGACTGAAATCACATCAAGCATCTTTTCCAACCACAATGGTATGAAACCAGAAATCAATTAAAGGAAGAAACCTGGAAAATTCACAAACATGTGGAGATTAAAAAACATGCTATCAATGGGTCAAGGAAAAAATCAAAACAGAAATAAAAAAATACATTGAGACAAACAAAATGGAAATATACCAAAATTTAAGGGATCAGCAAAAGCAGTCTAAGAATTCACAGTAATAAAAGCCTATCTCAAGAAACAAGGAAAGTCTCAAATTAACTTTGCACCTCAAGGAACTAAGAAAGAACAGACAAAGCTCAAAGTTAGTAGAAGGAAGGAAATAACAAAGGTCAGAACATAAGAGAGACTAAATAGACAATGGAAAAGATCAATGAAAGTAAGAGCTGCTTCTTCAAAAAGATGACAATATGGACAAACCTTCAGCTAGACTCACCAAGAAAAAAAAAAAGTGGATTCATAAAATCAGACACAAAAAGATGAGATACTACAACTGAAAACTCAGAAATACAAAGGATAAGAAACTATTATGATCAATTACATGACAACATACCGGACAACCAAGAAGAAATAATTCCTAGAAACATACAACCTACCAAGACTGGATCATGAAGAAACAAAATATGAGATTACTAATAAGGAAATTGAATCAGTAATCAAAATCCTCCCAAAAAATGAAGGTCCAGAACCAGATGGCTTACTGGTGAATTAAAAAAAGAATACCAATCCTTGGGCGCCTGGGTGGCTCAGTTGGTTAAGCGACTGCCTTCG